ATATATATATATATATATATATATATATATATATATATCAATCAGCAAACATCATTGTATATCACTATAAACCGTACTGATATTTACTAAATTACTAACTATTTTTCCCAATATTTAAGGTCGGAAAGCATGGAATATTTAATAGTGAACATCAGCACATACAGTGCATGCACAATTAAACAATATCAAACACTTACCCATTAATGGCTAATCCAGAGAAAAATTTTTTTTTTTTAAGTATACCCCCAAAAATCAAGCTTAATGAAAGTATTTATATCTGAAACACTGTTCTCGGTGACTAGAATACCAATATTTATTTAACTGCTGGCTAAACCATAGCATTTCAGACTCATTTTGTATTATTGTACTACCAAGTGGCCTTAATCTGACACATTTAACTCTAAATACATTAATTCCATCAATAATACTACATTAACTTAAACAAATTAGTACATGTATTTATTTATTTCATGTCTATTCAATTTATGTAGAAATTTAATTCATATGAGAACATGAAACTTCCTCAAAACAGCAAAAATTTCAATAAAATGTCATGATATGTAAATATTAATTTAATAAAAACAAGCTTGACTCCTAAATGCATAATTCCAGCGTGATAAATGACATTTAGTGAACTGAATGGTGTGCAAACTGCGCAAATCCTCCATGAATGACTGCAACATATAAATTTTAGGTAATAAAACAAGATTTTTCATGTATGAAATATTATAGACAGATGTTTTAGAACATAATGCGTTAATTTTACCACACCAAAAGCAGCAGGTAGAGACTCCTTTCACCTTTATAACATACAATATGTCATTGTCCATAGCACAGACACTTTAATGTTATGATCTGACATGCTGCATCTCAGCTCACTCTCTCAGCACTATCTATTGGGCCATTAAATCAAAGACAACGACTAACAGAGTAAAGGCAATCTCCTTAATGTCCTCCTCCGCTGGCTCGAGAAGGGCTTACATTAAACAGGATTATATAACACAGCTCGTATGCTTATAGACTGTAGTCATGGTGACCAGAACATCAGTAAGTATTTGAATTATGACGAATTCGCTTTTTGAATGGAATGGAACTGGAATGGAACGCGTTTACTGTGTATCGTCATACACCCAAAGCGCTGAAAGGAGGGTCTTTTCGCACCAAAACATGAATAAACAAACACATACAGTACAAATGTAGGACTCATTACAGACGGAATTGTAATAAGTTACTTACTCGCCCCTGCAAAGCAGATGTGGCATCCAAACAAACACAGACCGAGGCTCATAAAAGTGACTAGCTGAATCATATCGAGTTAATCCAAACGAGCGACTCCAATTTCCGAAGAAAAAAAGTAACCCGACATCCTCCAACTGTTACATTATTATCATCATTCGCGCGTTTTGTTCCAAAGCACAGCTGAGGGAGAAGATAACCAGCATCTCTTGCTCGCAATGCACCTCAGTGTGATGTTGCCATCGAAATCCGCAGCACCAACTGGAAAGCGCGGTGTTTAATGAGTAAATAACGCGCAAGAGGAATCACCTTTGTTTTTTAAACCCCTCAAAAAAGCTTCACCACAGAAGTCGTCAGCCTGTTACATCCGCGTAAGCTGAAGAATGCGCGCGTACGGGCGTCCATCTCATCACAGAGCGCGCGCACGCCTTCCTCACTTATTTTATGCGCTCGTGTAAGACGCTTTAAGAATACCAATAAATCAGCGGCTCCGCATCGCGTTCACATGACCCACAGGTGGCCTGTTACTCATTGATTCTTCTCAGCACTCACTCATTCACCTTCTGTAGCCGCGTGACGCACGTACCCGCATCGGCATGGATACACGCAGTAAAAAGCCGCCAAAAACACGGGCTATTTTCAAACTTGCACATTCTGTGTAAACAATAAGATGAAGGGAACATAGAAGGCATGACAAAAGAAAACGACGTCTGAAAATGAATTCATGCAGTCTGGTCTGCAATGTGTGACCCAGGACCACAATTTTGACCAATACAATGTATTTGGCGATCTACAAAAATACATTGTAGGGGCAAAATGATTTCTTTTATGGCAAAAATCATTTGAATTTTAAGTAAAGCTCATGTTTCAGGAAGACATATTGTAGATCTCATACTATAAATATATCAAAACTTAATTTTGGATTAGTAATGTCCATCGGACAATTTGGAGGGAGATGTTCTCAGTGTTTAGATTGCTTTGAACCAGATTTTTAATACAAATAGTTGCATTTCAGAGAGTTAAATTGGTCTTAAAATGCAAAATAAAAAAATCATTTGAATATTGAGATTATTTTCACGAAAAACATTTTGTAAATCTCCTACTAAATATATGAGAACTTGACTTGTACATGTTTGAAGGTGATGTTTCTTAGTGTTTTAATAGTTTGAACCCCCAGACTGCAGGTTTTAAATAGTATTTCAAACTAATTTAAAAGTACAAAACTTTCATATGTTTAGATCATGCTGCGGAAAGACATTTTGTAAATCTTGTAAATATAGCCAAACTCAGTTTTAAATAGTAATGTGCATTGCTAATAACTTAATTTGGACAATTTTGAAGGTGTGTTTCCTTAGTATTTAGATTTTATTAACCCTCAGATTCCAGATTTTCAAATGGTTGTACTTCAGATCAATAAAATTGTCTTTTAATGCAAAAATAATTCAAATATTAAGATCATGTTCCAGGAAAAGATTTTGTAAATCTTGTACTTTAAATATAGCAAAACTCAATTTTGGATAAGTAATTTGCATCACTAAAAACTTAATTTGATCTGTTTCAAAGGTGATTTTTCTCAGTGCTTTGATTGTTTTGAGCCCTCAGATTGCAGATCTTCAAATAGCTGTATTTCAGACAAATAAAAAAATATTTTAATGCAAAAATCATTCAAATATTAAGATCATGCTGCAGGAAGACCTTTTGTAAATCGTGTAAATATGGCAAAACTCAGTTTTGAATAGTAATTTGCATTGCTAAAAACTTAATTTGGACAATTTTGAAGGTATTTTTCCTTAGTATTTAGATTTTATTAACCCTCAGATTCCAGATATTCAAATTTGTATTTCAGATCAATAAAATTGTCTTTTAATGCAAAATCATTCAAATATTAAGATCATGTTCCAGGACAGGGTTTCTGCAGGTTTCATCAAGTCATGCAAGACTTTGAAAACCTTTTTAACTTAAGAAAAAAATTATATTAAGATTATGTTTCAGGAAAAGATTGTGTAAATCTTGTACTTTAAATGTAGCAAAACTCAATTTTGGATAAGGAATTTGTATTTCTAAAAACTTAATTTGAACTGTTTTAAAGGTGATTTTTTTATATAGAAAAATACTAAATAAAATAAAAAAAATTGAATGCAAAAATCATTTAAATATTAAGATCATGCTCAAGAAATCTTGTACTGTAAATATAGCAAAACTCAATTTTGGATTGCTAAGAACTTAATTTGGACAATTTTGAAGGTGTGTTTCTTTGTAATTAGATTTTTGTTAACCCTCAGACTACAGAGTTTCAAATGGCTGTATTTCAGACAAATAACATTGTCTTTTAATGCAAAAATCATTCAAATATTAAGATCATGTTCCAGGAAGACATTCTGTAAATCTTGCAAAGTAAATATAGCAAAACGCAATTTTCGATTAGTAACATGAAGAACTTGATTTTTAATTGTTTTTAGTTTGAGGTGATTTTTCTCAGTGCTTTGATTGTTTTGATACCTCAGATTGCAGGTTTTCAGTTGTATTATATATATAAGTATATGTATATACATATATATATATATATATATATATATATATATATATATATATATATATATATATATATATATATATATATATATATATATATATATATATATATATATATATATATATATATATATATATATATATATATATATATATATATGTGTATGTATATATATATATATATATATATATATATATATATATATATATATATATATATATATGTGTATGTATATATATATATATATATATATATAAATTTATGTATACACACACACACACACACACACACACACATATATATATATATACACACATACACATGTCACTGATAATAACGTGCAGTCAAACATAGGAGCAATTATAAGGTGTGTGTCAACATCTACCATTTAGAGAGTAAATATACAGTAGATACAGCTGATGGGTCAAAGTTCATTTGTTGAACTTTGATATGCTCACTTAGCATTTTCCGAGGGCTTTTTCATTGTCAAACACTCCCAATGCACTAATACTGAACGTCTGAAAATCGTCTGATAAAAATGGATCAGTCGGAGGTGAGTGAAAACTGAACACTGGCTTTGCTTTCGCTTCAGATGTTCCTTTCGCTGGTAATGGACCAACAAATCTTCCTCCCTTGTAAGCTAGAATATAATTAAAGGAGCTCCTGAGTGATGCTGTTAATCTTAAGTGTCTGCTTTTCTGTCTGACGCTGCAGTCGTGTTACGAGCTCGCTCTACCTGTGACGGAGAAAAGCAACCCCATCAGCAGAGGAATAGACAGAGCAAACACTAAACACATGCTGCACGTGCTGAAACAGTGTGACGCTGAGATCTTCCAGAAGGAAATAAAGCATGATACACACTATCAGGTTTGGGCTGTTGGTTTTAAAGGGGACCTATTATGCAAAATTCACTTTTACAAGGGAATTAAACTCAGTTGTGTGACAACAGTGTGTGAAAATAACCAGCTACTAATAGTAAAAATTTAATAATTATATTTTTATAATTACACTTGATCAAAACAGTCTGCAGAAACACTTTGATTGACATTCTCCCTCTGGACGTGTCATCAGAGGGGGAAAGCCCCGCCCATTAGTGACCGTCTCTCCCTCATTTCCAGAGACAGTCCTGAGTGAGAAACAGCCATTCGCCATTAGTTTTGAATCTGCCACTATGCTGACACACTGATATCAATAGCTCCGCCCTCTTTTGAAACTTAAAGCGACAGTCACCAAAAAGCCACAATTAGCATCGAAGCCTAAAAGGGTGAGTTTCAAAGAGTTTAAAACATCTGTGTGGTATTTTGGGCTGAAATTCAAATACACACTCTAGAGACTACCTACGTCTTGTAAAAGCTGGCATAATAGCTCCCCTTTAAGCATGATATGTGAGGAATAACTTCATGTTATAACAAGTGGTTTTCAAGCTGATTTTTCTTGTTGTTGTTTATAGAGACTATATAGTGCACCTGTCATCGAAACAATGGTGGATGTTGCAAAAAGGGTTGAAATGATGCTGAGGGTCAGTAATATTCAATTCAGTTAAAAATATTGATGTATTGATTTATATTCATTTATAAATTTTAAAAAAGTTAATATAAATCTGCTTTATTCAGTACTAATACACGCACTCAAAAAAAAAAAAAGGTTTTTGTTGCTTGTTCAAACTGCTTATATAAAATAAGCTGAAACAACACAATTCTAGAGATTTCTTGGAGAATTGTTTTACGCTCAATCCACTTAAATTAGTTGTTAACTTAATGGATTTGTGTTGAGACAACATGAATGAATTGTATGGAAGCCCGCATATTTACAGTGCAGTTGTAACATAAATATATACTGAAATTATCATTATTAAATATTAAAAAGTCTAGTAATTTATTATTAATAAGTATTAATACGTGACCCTGGACCACAAAATCAGTGTTATGTAGCATAGGTGTATTTTTTAATAGCCAAAATACATAGTATTTTTTTATTGTATGTGCATTTTTTTATAAATAAATTGTAATTTTTAGCCAAAAATCATTTTGATTTTCAAGATTTTTTCAAATACATATTTTTTTACTTTAAATATACATCAACACTTTTAGTAAAATGCATTTCTAGACATTAAATTTTAATGTGTTTTTCCTCAACTATTAGAGGTTTTTTTATTGTTCCAGTTTTCAAATATTTGTATCTCGACCAAATATTGTAATATTGCAGCAAACCCTGCATTAATCCAGGTGAGGCTTATTTTCAAACAATCGACACTTTTGACTTTTTCAACACAGGCTCAAGGCTTATTTATACTTCTGCGTCAATCGCACGCCTATGGTCTGGCTCATCCTTCGTGCGGTCGCATTCTCCTCGACTTGGCTGACCCGCAACTTTCAAAAAATTTTACTACACGTCGCAACGATGCATAGCGCAAGCTCTGTGATTGGTTTGCTTTGTAGCGCTGACAAGTGGGCAGTGCTGAGAGCCGTAAGCCTGATGGAGTGATTGTTTGCAAGTCGTCACCTTAGAATTTTAAGGTTCTATCTGACATTTTTGTCCAAATTTAGTTATTGACATATTCTTATTAAATGACAACTTATTTACATTATAGGATGTTTTATTTTATATAACTTGTTAACATTTTAAGACTTTTTATGTAAAGAACAAATGTCACACACATACTGTTTGCTATGGAATGCAAAAACTTGCAAGCTCATTCTCTCAAAATCATTTAGAACGCTAATAGAACCTTATAATTCCAAGGTGACGAAGTGTGGAGTCTTGTGAAAGAGCTCCAGATGGAAACTTTTCCTATGTGTTTATCTTATGAATAAAGTTGTTGCACGTCTGCTGGTTCCCGCCTCTGAATGAGCAAGTTTTAGCTACTTGTACCATTCAGAAAAAACAAAATACCAGCTAAGAAACTCGACACAGAGGAATATAAAAACCTACTGCCAGTTGATCACGTGATGCAGAAAAAAAAAAAAAAAAAATGTAACCATTGTTAAAACGTACCCCTGTATACATTTTTGCAGAGCATGAGTTATGTAGCCAGAGCTACGTATTTCTGCATTTCAACCTTAAAATGTATGCAATGGCTGGTATAATGCCACTGCCACCGGCCAACTGTTTCTTTTCACGCTACCAGCTGATTGCTTGCCTCCATGTGTACAGCTTTTCTGCTGTTATTAGTTTGCACAGTGGCTCATTATGTACGTAGTACGTCGAGTTGACTGTGATGACAAGGTTCGAGTTCAGCGAAGTACTGTTCCAGAAAGCAAGTAAAACAAAAACAAAAGGCAAAAATGAAAAATAAACAAGTGAATAACAGTCTAAGATCTAAAAATATGGTGTAAAAAAATAAAAAATAAAAAATAAAGCAAGCTCTAGTGAGGGCTTTTCTTTTTCTAGATTGCTTATAAAAACACGGCAAGTTGGGTTTAGGGAAGGTGGTGGGCGGGTCAATCAGTGCTTATGAAAACACTATCGGTTGGGTTTAAAGAAGGGGTTAGGCCGGGGGCGAATCAATCAGTCGGTAAGTCAGTCAGCAAACAGTGACCTCTGGTGGATTTACGTAAGAACAGCAGGCATAAATGGCACTCGCAAGAGAAATTTGAGATCTGAAAAAGGGTACACAGCGGCCTCTGGTGGATTAGCGAAAACAAACACTGCAAAAAAAAGTAGCTCCTGGGATGTATTTTATGCTGTCCAGAAATATATATAGGGGTACATATCCATAATGAGCCTGAATTGGACTTTTTTTTTAGGTCCAGGGTCACATACGTAAATCACTCAAATTATATTTATACATTTTTATGCTTGTAATGTAAATATACACGTGATTTATATTTAAATTAAATCGGTAATGCTATTTTTACTAGTATTATTACTGTTTATATTGTTTTCTGCATATTTAATTTAAACTTTAAAAACAAATGTCAATATCATCCAAATTGATTTGTCTCTGCAGAATCCAGAAGACAATCTGATTGTATTAAGTGGCTGTGGAACATCAGGTCGTATTGCATTTCTTTTGGCGGTAATGAGATTAAGAACGATTTATTGATTCTCCTTTTTAAATAAAACCTAAAGCATTGCATACTGAATAAAATAAGAGCATTCAAAATGTCAGAGTTCTGCTGTTTTATTTATATTCGTCATTCTCTATTTCATACCTCAGACATCTTATAATGAGATGCTAAAGAGCCGAAAACAGAAGCAGATGTGTTTGTACATCATAGCTGGAGGTGACAGGTGAATAAACAGTCTGTCTGTTTGATGCATAAGATGAGACTGCAGTATTTCAGGACTCTGTTTTTAAAGGGCCCTGCTGACATCACAGGAGGCTCCAGAGGACGACCCGGCACTCGGAGCTCACATGTTGGACAAGGTGAACGC